AACAGGAATATCTGACATTAAATTCATGTTTGCTGTATGTTCAACACTACGCTAAGCATTTGCATGTTTTAACTCATTTCTTTGTTCCATAAGGTCTGGAGGTGGAAATATGATTGTTATTCCCCTCCAACAGATAAGGAATCAAGCACAGAGTGTGCAAGCAATTTGCTTAAATGCGCTAATGTTGAAATGGGTATTCACACTCAGTCTGGTTCATACCCATTTTTTAGCAATGATTCAGTGGGCCAATTGGATTTTGAGCAAACAGAAAGATAGAATTAAATAATACGTATTATGGAGGATCTCAGACAATGAAGAGGCACGATTCCGAGCTGAAAAATGACTGAAATCCTACTTTAGAATGACATCTGATATCATCGTGTATATTAGATTTGGAAGATAAGCATCATAATCAAAGGGACTGGTTAGGAAGCTACTGCAATAATCTAAGATGTATAAAGAGGAAAGTGAGACTGTGAAGAAAAGACTAGTATGCAGACCAATCTTCTTTTCACAATTAAAAATGATATTTACTTGCCAACCCTACCACTGGGTTATCCAGAGTTGACAGGATGACAAGATAATCAATCAAATAGTGTATTTAGTCTTATTTTCTTAGTGAATTAAGTTGCTTCTTCAAAGTAAATTACAAACCCATGGAGATTATTACTTAATTGCATAAAGGTAATAATACCACAGCTGTACGTGCCTAGTGCCTCAAGGAATTAACACACCTTTGAAGAATTAAAAAATAAGTATGCAAAAAAATCAAAACTTATTAACATGTAAACTCTCTGGATAAATATTTCTTCCAGGATTTTGAGAAGGCCCACATTGAAAAAACTTTACATGGATAATTCGCTATCGATTGATACCCAGGAAATATTATATTTTTAATGGCAATGGATATTATGTCTCTTCTTCACCATTAAAATTGAGGTCCTAATGATCTTTGTGAAATCTTTATCCTAACATCACATTTAAAAATAAAATATTCGCAAACTTGAAAGTTTTTGTATGAATTTTCATTTAGTTCTTTTCCTGCACTTTGAAAGCACAAAGCAAGATTTACTGGTTTGTTTGCGGTGCCATCTGTGTGATTAGCTAAGAAAACCTAGCATACGCTTAAAACAATGCAAGAAAAAACTATGCAAAATTAAGCTAAAACTGTCATAATGAAACTGCTAAATTTCACAGAGATCAAATCCCACCACACTGAAAATGTTTCTTGGGCCTGCCTAGAATTTCTCACATCATTAGGTGTGAAAAACATAAATTGAGCACTGCTTTTTTTTTTTCTTCCACATTTTGTCCATGATGAGAACATTTGGGAGACAAAGCTCTTGGTAGCCTTGAGGTCTGGTGTTTGGAGGAACAAGGGAAAGTGATTGAAGGCTGCACTCTCTACAGATTCTGGGCACTTGTTCAGTGATTGTTTCTGAATCTTCAAGTCATTTAAAAAATAATTATGCATTCCCACATTTCCACTTCCTTCTAGAACACAAAATTATCCCTTTTTTTCTACAAGAAAATGAGAGAAAATTGAGAATCCAAATACCTGATCAAATACAATATCTCAAGACCAGGTCTGGAACCCAGAAATTGTGTTGTCTGAGTAAAATGATTCAACTCCAGATACTGCATTTCTTGATGCAGTATTTTTTAAATTTCAGGTATTTTAATTTCAGATATTTTTAAATTTCAGGAATACCTGTCTGCTTGCCAGACATCTAGGTAGGATTTAGCTCTACGTGCATGTTAATACATTCATTTTATAAAGGTTGAAAACTCTGACTCATTGCCCATCAAGTTAAAGCACAAATTCAAGATTTTTAAGTACTTAATCTGTACCATGTAATGAGATTTATATTACAAGCTGAAAAAAAGAAGTGCACTTAGGATACAGTCCAAAATAAAACTACCTAGCACAGCGTGAGAGTATGCTTCCAAACTGTTTTTCCATACATTCTCCCATAGTGTCCACCAATGGAATCTCTTTTGTTATCTCCAAATCTTGCACCACAAAATCCTACTGTCCTGCAAGGAGTATCCAATTCTACATCATTCCACCTAAAATTGGGCATCCTTTTATAATGTTTAAGCACATTCTGCATTTTCTATAATTTGACTCCAACATTTTTCTTTACTTACAAGAAAAGTGGAGAACACTGAATGTACACCCACATTTGATACATAACCACCGTACATTTCCATGACAACTTGTACATTTTTGCTGCGAAAAGTGAAACATGGTTCAAAAGTGAGTAATACAGAAGGTCATTTAATCTTCCAATACTCAAAATATTTTTACACTGTGCCTCCCACACACTCCCACCCTCCAAAGCAAAGGACTTTGAAGATTGAAATAATAAAGGGTAATTATAATCAAGTTTAATGAAGTTGGAAACTAAGATATTTTATATTAGTGAGTGTGTTATAATTAACTCTGGTAAATGATACCAAAATGAGTATTTTCATACTCTCTATTCCAAACAAAAACCCAAAAGGATAAATCTGTGTGATTATGCTTTCTTCCATAAAATAGAGAAATAAATCTCTGTTATTACTCTAAAGTATAGTGTCTAATATATTTTGTTGAAAAAAAAACAGCAAGGAGGGGCTATTTCAGCTAAGGTATTTACAAAAAAAAAAAAAAGTAAATTCTAGACAATAGAAGCAACGTTAATAATGTCCTGTGAGTGTTTCAGAAGACATGTTATCTATCCATTGTCTGATGACTTAACTAGAATAGTTTGGGTTTAGTGAGAAAATGAAACACTTTGAATTTGTAGCTTTTCTCTAAATAAAATGAATCTACTTTATCAACTGGAAAAAAGTATGAGAGGAAAAGGGACAAGAAAGTGCACACAGATTGTTGACAGGGCCAGAAATGATAAGAATCAAAAACTTACTACATTGAGAACTTACTAGTATTTGTGATAAAGCATAAAAGAAATTCTTATCTTCACTGAACTTATATTAGATGTCCAGAAACCCAAAACCAAGATTAAAGAACACTATGATGGATCCTATCAGCATAAGTGGAGACCTTCTACCAACAACAGTTAGCAAGTACTTCTGCCTCAGTGAGGTTTCTGAGATGAAGGGGTGTTTACCAAACCTGGGACCCAAGTGAAGAGAGCAAAGTAACAGCTATCACTTTTCATTTTCATTTTATAGGTCTAGTAGAGAAATGCAGCATTAAGACCAGAAATCTCAACAGAAATACATCATGTCATATTTTTGCTTGTTCTAAAATTAAGCATAAAGACATATGTCTATATCAGAAACATTCTTCTTCTTGTTATTTATATGTAACTGAATCGTCTTTGGTTTGGGGGGGAGGTGGAAGCAAGGAATATAGTCATTTGTATAAACTCTCAGACCTCCAAGTCTAAGATTCTGTTCAATTAAGAGCTGCCATTATGGGGCCCTGACTCCTCAAGACCTTTCTATGCCAGGGAAAGGGTTATTGAAGAGTGGGTATAGATCCGTTTTAGGAGAGAGACTTCAGGCACACACTTCTGCAGTGCATCTCAATAAATGTTGACTGATAGCCTAACACATCAGTTTTCTTGGTGTTGACCTATATATGCATTCTGATAATGTATGGTTGATTCTCATATTTATCAGGTAACTTATAGCTTCCTGGGTCTCTCCACTCAATTCTAGCTACAGATTTAAGAAGAATACCTCCCTGGGTTTGGAGTAGGCCAGGGTGAATTAGATGCAGTCAGCTCTGTAGCCATTAGGCATAGGATCCTCTCTGGGGCTCGTGTGCCTGAGTTTGAATGCTCAGCCAAGGGCACCTGTGATATAATTCAACCATCATCTTCCCATCTAACCCACAGTGCTTTCTTGACAACTTGTCAAATATACTCTCTAACACTCACTTCATCTCCCAACCCAGCAACACTAGCAGGAAGCAAATGGAATTAGTGTAGTTTCTGAGTCCACACAAACCGTTAGTGATACTTTCTCTGTTCCCTAACTATCCTAGAATACAAGTGGGGATAAACAACAGCACTTTAGACCTGTGGGTTTTAGAATACAGCCTTTTATTTTCTTTCCTAAGATAAGGGAAATTTTCTATCTATAAATCTAACTTTTTGTTTTCCAAATGATAATTGACAGGAATGTTAAGAACACTAAGGTTCTTTAGATCTCAGAAAATAATGGTACATACCTGCTTCCAGATCACATGGTGCTTGATGTAGAGTATGGCCCGTGGAAGGTGTTAACATGTTGTATGGCAAGGATTTCCCTCAAGCCCATCTATTAGGTTTATGACATGAATCCTTCTGCAGGGAAAGACTGCCCTCACCGCCCTTCTGAACTCACCTCTCTGCCAACTTCCTTCCCCTCTCTCCTCCATGTCTGTGGAGAAACTGTCTTAATGGGATACGTCAAGATACCCCTTAGGAGGCCTGCCTCATAACCCAAGATTACTTTTCAAATAGAGAGACAGAATTGCTTGCAGGTGTAGGATCCTGGACAGTACCTAGTTGTGTATATTAACATGCCCTAAGAAGGGGGGGGGGGGCAGGTAAGTTGGTCAGCCTCAGATGTCACCATAAGGGAACATGGAAGAGATTTCCATTAGCATCACCTGCCTAGGAGCTGCCCAGGGCACATGTTTCGCCCCTTAGATTTATCCATCATGATTCCTTTGGGATTTCACCCAAATATGTATCTCAGCTAAGAAAATTTAGGACCAGTTTGCTATTGTTTTTATTTCATATTCATTAGGAAAAGGTCTTATTTTGCTTCCTAACTAGTTTCTTTACTGAGAGAAGTCCATTTTACTCTGTGGGCGGGGGGAGGGTGTCCCCAATATAAGCCACTTTACCAGATCAATTCTTGGTAATGAATTCTTAACCCACATCATGTGCACTTCTAAGTACTAGGTATGAAAGTACTTAATTCTTACAACAATCCTGAGTACTAGTTATGGACACACTATTCCTCTCTACCCGAAATTCTTTTGAAAAAAAACTCACACAGTGTTCTTTTAGTTCAGTCTTTTCTTTGTGGTCTCCTTGGTTTCTGAGTGTCTATCATCCTGATCCACATTGGGCCTAAAGTTGTCGATTCACATTCTAAACTCAACAAGGAAGAACCAGAGAATTTTCTTTGTTCATGACTGCTGCCCTTTCAATCATTGTTGAAAATTGATTTGTACACATACTCTTCCATTACATCCTCTGGGCCTCAAGCTCCACTGACGATATTTTCATATTTGTAGTCCTTTTCCTGTAAACACAATACAATGCCAGGAATGCTTAGTCCTAAGGGGTACTAGCTGCATTCAAGATCTGCCCCCTCTCTCAACACGTAGGTCCTCATATTATTCTCAGGTCTCTGAGTCAAAGCTCATTTGTGGAACCATATGAATTTGTTCACCTCTCTACAGCTTGAACTTTAGCCACCCATGTCCACTCCAGTGGATTTCTCCAACTTAACCCCAGAGATCAGGAATTTGAGTTTTCAGTCTTTAGTATTCCAGAAGGTTCCTGGATCCCACTTACAGCTTGAGTTTATCTTTCTGTGTTAACAGATCAAGTGGTATTGTGTGGGACTTCTCTTTGTCAGGGTATAGAAGATTCTGGCACATTTTAATGCAAGTACAATGAATGAAATAGAACCTTTATATAGCCAGGAAGCCATATAGTGTCATTTGGATGAAAAGGGTTGATGATTCGCTAAGTTCTCCTTAACTAAGAATATTTTGAGTTAATTATTTATTCGTATGCAGAAGAGTATTGCCATCACCTGTCCATATACTCATTACATTTACTTATTTAATGCACCTATTTTGTTTTGTCCCCAAAGAAATGAGTTCACTTTTTGTGCACCAGTATGACTCACACCAAGGTGAATGGTCAAAATTAGAATCACTTTGAAATGAGGAGACCATGCCACTCTGCACAGGCTAGTCATATTAAGCTGCCCCCTTGAACATCTGTCCATCTTACATTAGACAGTCTACTTCTCACTCTGGCCTGATTTATTTCCCTTCAACCCAAAGATCTCAGCTAGATCTCTAGGGAGGCAGGGAGTGTGTATTTCCTTTTCACAATTGCATCCTACTGCCTAGCATGTTATCTGGCACATGGTAGGGGCTCCATAAATAAGATTGAATAAATTAATGTTCTACAAAAACAGTAACCAGATTCTCCCAAGGGACTCCAGCTATGTATACCTAAAATCAAACTTTGTCTTCTCCTCCAAAACCAGTTTCCTTTCCATCCTTCTCTATCTAGAGATACAAATACTTTGTCACTTTGAATTAAAAAAACTCTACTCACCTTTTAAATATCCTTCCCTTCGTTCTCTTTTCCAGTTACTTAATAATGCTTGATTCTTTCCTTTAAAATATGCTTTGGAGCTTTTCTTTTTGTATTTTGACTTTGCAATTATGCCTTTGTGATCTGATATATGAATTATGACAATTATCTATTATGTGGTCTCCCAGGTTTCAGATCCCACCAACATTCTAAATGATGCTAGAAACAGTCCCCTAAAATACCACCTTTATTATATCACTCATTTTTTTACTAAATCAGGAACAAATATCCTTATATTTAAGGACCTTCATAATGGTACCCATACTAACCTCCAAATTACTTTAATTTACACCTTCCATTCTAGACAAGTAAAGTTCCCAATGTCTAACAGACAGTCTATCACTTCTTGCTTTGTGGTTAACTCACTTTGTCATATGTAAAATATATGATATGTCATCCAAGGTCAAATTCAAGTCCATGGACCTACATGATGACATCTGTCACTAAAACATGTGAATCTCTTGCTTGTATCAACACTCTTATTAAAAATAATAATAATACTTTTCTGCAGAAATTTATTTGCATTTCATTATAGGAATTGAGGAGAACATGCCACTTCTGTGTTTCATTACAGATTGTTCTTAATGCTTTTCTAATTACTACAAGTGATCTAGGGATCAATTTTTATATCAGTGAGCATCTTTTTTGATATTTTTTAATCCACTAAATCACTAGGACAATTATTTCACAATGTAGATCCATAGATTCTTGGGAAATGATTGTATTCATGTATTCAGTAAATTCTCATTGCATAATCAATACATACCAGGTACTGATGAAACAACAAAAGAGAAAACAGAGCTGTATTATAATGGTAGATACTGAAAACACAAAAGGAAACAAATAAAATACATAATTTCAGATATGGTAATATATGGTCTGTATACTAATACCATATTTGCATTAGATTATACTACTTTGCAAATACAGCTTGGATCCATGTGTTGTTCTTGACTATTCTAACCACTACCTCTAAGTCAGCCTTGACTTTCACAGCCTTCTAGGCATGGATTAGGTCCTTATTTGTGGAAATAACTGTTGGTGAGACTTATTTTTTCAAACCAGAATGGAACTAAAATATTATTTTTAAGAATTAATTATAATTGAATATGTGCCAAAAGTACATAAAGAAAAAAAAGATCTGGCATGGTACACTGCCAGAATAGAAATAGATTTTGGACTCAATTCAGTTTCTAGTGAATTAATGTCCAAAGCACACAGGGGCAAATGTGCACACGTTTGTAATATCAGCATAGAGACCAGGGTACACTCAGAACCTTAATTTTCAGCTTTACCTCCCCATCCAGAGGGTAATCTTATCCTTGGTCTCTGTATTAGGTTTACCTATCATAACCTCTGTATTTATTAAAATACATTCTTTCAAAGGACTTTGTGTGCAGGAATTGGGAATGCAATGTTACTATTCCTAATAAAAGATACATTTTATTTTCTCTGTATAGTGAAAATGAGCCACAAGGTGTTTGGCTAGTCTGCCTCCATGAGGACCTGCAGACTGATAGTACCTGAACTATTTGCACTTATCAGAAGCATCATAGTTACATAGATATTCATAGTATTATATCAGGTTCCCAACTATGTGCTAGGCATTGTGCTCAGTTCTGAGGATGCTCAATGGAAATGTTAGTTTCATGGTCTAGTGAGGTTAACAAACCCACAAATGATACACTATACCACTGGCTAACATGTGCAGTACTAGAAATATAAATAGCTTCATTTGAAAAGAATATTGAAGCAGAAAGGAACCTGAAAATCCTTGACTGCAGCCCAAGTGAGAGAAGGGAGATTTACACAAGATGTTTATTGCTAAAGGAGACTGGAACCCAGGTCCCTTGATATCAGGAGAAGGCTCACTCCGCTGCTTCTTTCTAATCCAGCCACTTGCTAAAAGGTTGATTTTGTTCTCTAACTTTCACAATCAATGTATTAGTTTAAATATATAAAACAATCCTTAAAAAGTATTCAAATAGGAACACAAATTATTTTTGGTTTATATCATGTAAACCGCAATGATAAATATTGTCATTCGATATGTGACATTCATCAAACTATCTGTTATTCTTCTCTAATTTCCTGGTTCCTTCCACTGTTGTGGGTTAGGCAATTTATTAAATTAACTTCAGGGGTTAGTTCATTCTGAATCATTGCCAAATCCTCTGAGAGAGAGAGAGAAAAAAAGATATAGGAGTGGCTGTATATAAGACTACTGTTGTTTTGTGGTGGTAAAAAGAATTACATACTCTGCAGTGAATTTCTCACCCAAATATACAAGATGCTTATCATTTGAGTTTTTATGTTCTTAATCTACTTCTGAATGTATATTAAATATATTTGGCTTTTTTCTCTTCTAATTACCTGATTTATCCAAAACCTTCTGTGTATAAAATAATTCTGATGTAAAGCCTGTGCACATTGTGTGTTTTCAGATCCAGCTTGACAGGCTCAACAGGACTTTGTGCTATGTTTTATGAGAAGGCTAAGACTAAATTGGCCCATTTTTAATGGCAATTGTAATATTGCATTAGATTTATTAAGGTGATTTGCTAATGCCTCTTTTCAGAAAACATTGATGCTTTCTGATCCCTTCTAAGCTTATCTTTTAATGAAGACTATTTTAAGATGAGTGTTTCAGATTTTAGCTACTTATACATTTTTTAAAGTATCTGTAATGCCCCAAAAGAGCTACACAAAAGCAAAATATATGTATAAAAGCAATCACATTTTAAAGCAAAGGCAGAATGTTACTTATTCAGGAAATATATAGCATGTCATAACCAATGGTAGAGATTTTTGTAGTTACCCAAAATTGACATTTAAAAAACAAATCTTGTTACAAAAGAATGTTTTTAAATGCATGAACTAAACTATAGAAGTTAGTTTAATATCCTATTAATTCAAATCAAACACCTTTTCTTCTTGTGAAATATCCAGATAATTGGGGTAATTTAAAGGAATTTTTTTAATTACCTGGAAAATTGCCTCAATCTTTCACCTTAATCTTCTGTTTTATTTTGCAGATTAAATAACCTTTCCAAAAAAAAAAAAAAACTATTTCCTATGTTCTCCTATCTCTTCTTTTGGGTTACTGTAAATTCCCTGTGGAACTGAAAGATTAAAGGTGTCTAGGATATAAAAGGAGAACATAATTTTTAAATGAAACCTTATTTCCAGTTAAAATCAGGTAATCACCATATCAAACTTTCTAAAATTCTGTTACCTCGAGCCACAGAAAAATGGAGTCCTGAGTAATTTCCATGGTAACTTCTACATGTCATCTTTATATTATTTCTGTAAACTCAAGTTTCCCTAACCACTATGCACAAGAGTATGTGTGTATGTGTGTGTATGTGTGTGTATGTGTGTGTGTGTTTGTGTGTATGTATGTATATATATAGATATAGATATAGATATAACCAATTCTAAGTGCCTCGATTTATAACATCCTTAAAACATTTGCTCCCAACATTTACTTTGTGTTCACTGGGACAGAACAGCAGTCATTTTAAGCCACAGGCACATCTATAACTGTACAAGCCTCACAATTATTCAGAAAGTAATATTTGAAGAGTATCAAAAATCATAGTTTATTCGACCTGCATATAAAAACCATTCAAGTATACTACATTTATCATATTAAAAATGCATCATTAAAATTTAAAAGCAGGTGCAGTTGCTCAATAAGCTAATGGTATAGTCTAAAGACTCCACTCAAGATTGTATTGTTGAATTCCCAATTGGATAAAGGAGAGACAGAAACAGAGGGAGGGAATTCGAACGACCTTGCACCAAGGTGGTAGGGCCCCAGGATCCTGTGCGGTTGGCTGTGGTTGAGCTCCACTCTGAGGATCTTTACAGCACTGCATTCTGACGACTGAGAATGAAAGTGTCCTTCTGAACAGATGAGCTTGGAATCGCTCCACCTCAGAGCCGGAACCCCCGTGAGTATCTACACACATGTGAATGTGAGCACATATTTGTATTTACGGGGTAAATTTATGGGTCGTTTGTCTGTGTGCACCAGTGACTTAAAGCTTGTCACAGAACACACTGAAGAATATGGCATAGAGAAATTTAATGAGGAAAAAACTAGTGGAAGAAAATTTAACCTTCCTAAGAGTCATGTCAATCTATAAACTATTAAATGATCACCTTTATTACTGGTTGGTTTATTCACCTCACATCATCTTAGGAAGAGCAAGACAAGATTCCTGAAATCCATTAATTAGTTTCCTCTAGCAAATATTAACTCAGCAAAATCCTATCCTTTCATAAAATACGTTTCGAATTTAAAATTGAAATATCTTAATCTGTATACCTATTCCCTGATTAGTTAAATCTAACTTTTACAAACTTTTCTTTAAAAATGTAATTCAGTTGAAAACTTACTTGGTTTTTCTCTATAAATCCTTTAAACAAGTTGCATTCCTCTAATATTTGAAGAGTAACAAAAATCATAGTTTATTCAACCTGCATATAAAATATTATTCAAGTATAAAAAAAAAGTTACTGTAGTTAACATATCCACTCACTGATAACAGCACAAAATAATGATAAATATAATTTTCACCTAAAATCTTTTACAGGAAAGAAGCCCACAGAGTCGAAATTATAAAGAAAGTGAGATAAAAGGAAAGTAGCAAATGCTGTCTCACTCCTTGGGACATTCATTTTAAAGTGGTGATTGTGACATACAGTGGCTGGCACCTTGGGTTTTGGGAGATGGCATTTTCTTTGACAGACATTTTAAATATTTTATTGGGAAAATGCATTGTTCCTTCCTCTTTAATATAAATACCATGATGTAGAAAATCAATCTGTGACTAGAAAGAACCAGTTTTACTTGCAATATTTTCTTTGCAGTAGTAGTAGTACCCCTTTGGCTCTCAGCAGCTATCTTCAATTATTAAGGATAAGGAAACAACATCAAAATTTCTGTTAAATTTCTATGTCATCTAAAGTGGCAAAAAAACATTACTTCTCACTTTTGGATAAATCAGTCTATGTTTAGACTCTAGAACACTAAGATAGTCTTTCATGGCCAAAACATTAAAAATCC